AGCGGTGGATGAGACAAGACCACAGAGACAGCGAAGAATCCCCTCGTGGTTTCGGGATTACACGTAGCAATAAGCATAAGAGCCATGTGGCTAGTTAGTGTCTATTATAATTGGGCCTATTAGAAATGGGCTTGTGTATAAAAGCTTGGAGATATTCATTTTGTAAGACGACTATTGAATAAACCAGATAATTGTTCTTTCTGTTTTCCCCTTTCTGAGATACATTACCCAACATTTGGTGCTTCCATCTCGAGTTGAACTTCAACATGCGGATGCAAGAAATTGCAGAGGAGTTGTGTTCTGAATTTCAGCAGGAGATGAATTCAACGCGTTCAGATTTGCAGCAACGCATGGATAAACTCACGGAGTCAGTGCTCCGATTGGATTCTCGTCTTCGAGAGTTCATGTCTCATACCCAAAACCCACCCCAAAATCCACCTACATTCAATTCCCATCAAACCCCAACCAGTTCGGGATCAATCACATAACCTTCACGGGAATGCTGATCCACTGGACCAGAGAAGCTTGAAGATGGTGAAAATGGAGATACCTTCTTTCAGTGGCCTTGACCCACATAGCTGGATCTTCAAGACCGAATTATACTTCCATTTACAGAATATTCCTCCTCATCTCAAAGTTCAACTTGTTGGGTTGAAAATGGATGGTCCCGCAGCACCTTGGTTCCAATGGCTCTACAACACTGGGACGATTAGTACGTGGGAGAACTTCGTGCTCGCAATACGTCAAAGATATGGGGCGTCAGTGTTTCTTGATCTTAAAGGAGCCATTTCGAAGCTTTCACAATCTGGGTCTCTGTCAGATTATGTTCGGGAATTGGAGGGCTTAATTAATCAGGTTCCAGATTTTTCAGATGATGTTCTTATGAGTTTCTTCATCTCCGGTCTTCAAACTGAATTGCGTGGGGTGATCCAACTTCATTGGCCGACATCGTTACACCATGCAATGCAATTGGCTTTTGCTTATGATGCCCACCATGAGCAATTACGCTCTTCTTTTTCTGTTAAGAAATCAGCCTCTTCTTTCCAACATTCGAATTCTGTCAAGAACTTTGTTAATTCGACATCAGCTACTTCTTCTTTGTCCTCGACTACAGTTCCCAAGACCCATACCACAATATCTTTATTACCCATTAAAAAGTTGTCTCCGGAAGAACTTCAACGTCGTCGTGATTTAAACCTCTGCTATACGTGTGATGAGAAATGGTCGAAAAGCCACAAATGCAAGGCCCAGTTTCTGCTATTAATTGGGGACTCTTCAGAGGAAGTTGAGGATGATACTGAGGAAATATTATGGCAGTCGGAGACCAGTCCGCCCCAACATACTGATGCAGCACTTCACTCTTTATCAGGTGATTCCAATCCTCGCTCCATTTCTTTTCCTGTTGTACTGGCTAAGCATTGGGTTCGAGTCTTAGTTGATTCGGGGAGCACACACAATTTTGTGCATAAGGATACTGCTGTTACCCTTGGGTTGCGTCTGACAAGGGTGAGAAAGATGAGAGTTTTTTTGGGCAATGGTGATTTTTTAACTTGTGATAGGAAGTGCATTGGCATTTCTTTGGAATTGCAGGGGCATGTTTTTACCGTGGATTTATGGGTATTGGACATTCCAAACCTTGAAGTGATATTGGGCATTGAATGGTTGAGTCAACTTGGCAAAGTCACACATGACTACCAAACTATGCCCATGGAATTCTTGCATGACAACGAATTGGTGGTTCTACAGGGTGATAGTTGTCAGAAACGTCAATTATTATCTTCCCTCCATGTCCCTTGTTTAGCTCTCTCTGGGTCAGAGTCAATTAGTTCTGAATTGGTTGCATTACAACCGGTTTTGGCTCCAGAATTATGGAATGTATTACTTCAGTTTCAAGGTGTTTTTGACATTCCTCAGACTTTGCCTCCTTTTCGTGGTCATGAACATTCCATCCATCTTGAGCAGGACTCCAAACCAGTAAATGTTCGGCCATACCGATACCCATATCATCAGAAAGTGGAAATTGAACAGCAGGTTCAGGGTCTTCTTTCCAGTGGGTTAATTCAGGCCAGTCACAACCCATATTCATCACCGGTCCTTTTGGTTCGGAAACAAGACAACACTTGGTGCATGTGCATCGATTACAGGGCACTTAATGCCATCACGGTTAAGGATCGTTTTCCAATTCCCACCATAGATGAACTCTTGGATGAGTTGTTGGGAGCTTCATTTTTTTCCAAACTTGATCTCAGAGCTGGCTATCATCAGATTCGAGTCACACCGGCTGATATTCATAAGACGACTTTTCGCACTCATGAAGACCACTACGAATTCTTGGTTATGCCCTTTGGATTGACCAACGCCCCATCAACATTTCAGGCCATGACGAACCAGTTGTTTAAGCCTTTTCTCCGCAAATTTGTCATTGTATTTTTTGATGACATATTGGTATATAGTGCTTCTTTTTCAGATCACTTATCTCATTTACATGATGTTCTTCTTTGTTTGCAGCAAAGTCAGTTTTTTGTTAAGTTGAGCAAATGCAGTTTTGGCGTTCATGAGATTGACTATTTGGGCCACATAGTGTCGGCTACTGGTGTGCGTGCAGACCCCAAAAAGATCTCTGCCATGATGGAGTGGCCTATGCCTACAACAGTGCGACAACTACGAAGTTTCTTGGGTCTCACCGGCTATTATAGGCGTTTTGTACGTTACTATGCATCCATAGCAACACCATTGACTAACCTCTTGAGGGCTGACCAGTTTTCTTGGTCATCTGAGGCTACAGATGCTTTCCATGCACTGCAACGAGCTATGGCTGAGCTGCCTTCTTTGGCTCTACCTGATTTTTCTGCCCCTTTTGTTGTAGAGACGGATGCATCCATGACAGGTGTGGGAGCAGTCTTATTACAAGGCAATAAGCCACTTGCCTTTTTCAGCAAAAAGTTGGGGCCGCGGATGAGTGTAGCTTCAGCTTATGTCAGGGAACTATTTGCTATTACTGAGGCTGTAAAATGTTGGCGCCAGTATTTGCTAGGGAGTCATTTTATCATCAGAACTGATCACCGGAGCATCAAGGAGTTGCTTTTCCAAGTTATTCAGACCCCTGAGCAACAACGTTACGTGTGTAAGCTGCTTGGTTATAGCTTTTCAATTGAATTTAAATCTGGTGCTAGTAATATTGTTGCAGATGCGTTGTCTAGGCAGTTTGAAGAGGCAGATTCGGCTAAATTGCTTGCATTACTATCCTTCCCTACATTTGACATAACTCAACGCATTCGTGAGGAGAATAATTCTGATTCAGAGCTTATTACTCTTCATCAACAACTGTCTTTGGGTACTTGCTCTGACCCAGCCTTTGCTGTCAAGGATGGCATTATCTTCCATCACCGTTTTTTTTTTTTGGGATCTCACTCCTCCATCAGATGGGAACTTATCAAAGAAGCTCATGCAACTCCGATTGGTGGCCATGCTGGAGCTTTGCGGACTTTTTTGAGACTTTCAGCATCCTTTATTGGAAATCAATGCGCATGGACATAAAGCAGTTTGTCCAAGACTGTGTTATTTGTCAGCAGGTAAAATCTAGTACAACGCCATCTCAAGGCCTTTTGCAGCCTCTACCGGTTCCTGAGGGTGCTTATGAAGATCTCACCATGGATTTCATAACTGGCCTTCCATTGTCTAAGGGGTTATCCACGGTTTTTGTTGTCGTTGACCGTTTCGCTAAGCATGCTCATTTTGGAGGTCTTCCCTCTTCATATAATGCATCTTCGGTTGCCCAATTGTTTTGTTCCATGGTTGTTAAGCATCATGGTTTTCCCAAATCGATCATTTCTGACAGGGATAGTATTCCTTAGCAAATTCTGGGTTCAATTATTTCGCCTAAGTGGTACAACCCTGCGCACTAGCTCCGCATACCACCCTCAAACGGATGGCCAATCCGAGGTGACCAATAGGTATCTGGAGCAGTATCTCAAGGCTTTTTGCTGTGAACAAAATAGCCTGTGGTCTACTTACTTGTGTTGGGCAGAGCTGCACTATAATACAACTGTGCACTCATCCATTAAAATGTCCCCATATCAAGCTTTATTTGGTAAGGCCCCAACTATGATTCCTTCTTATCTACCTAATGAAGTTGAGGTTGAAGCTGTTGATTCCACTTTGAGACATCGGGATGAGTTACTTGCTAGTCTGAAGAGGAATTTACAACAAGCTAGGAATCAGATGAAGGTATATGCTGATATGCACCGTCACGAACGCACATTTAAGGAAGGTGATTTGATTTTGGTTAAGTTGCAACCTCACCGCCAAATTTCAGTTGCTCGCAGGGGCTGTCACAAACTTTCCAAATGTTATTTTGGACCCTTTCCTATTAAGCATGTCATCAGTCCTGTTGCTTATCAGGTGGCTTTGCCGGAGAGTTCCCGTATCCATCCTGCGTTCCATGTTTCGGTTCTCAAAGCTTTTTCTGGAACTCCTCCTCCACATCTTCCTTCTCTTCCTGACACCAGTATGAACAATCGTCCAGTACAGCAGCCCATTGCGTTGCTCATGTCTCGAAACCGTTCAGTGGTAGGCCAACTTAGAAAGGAATTCTTGGTGCAGTGGTCATACTCCTTACCAGAGGATGCGTCTTGGGAACCTGCTTCAGAGCTTGCTGAAGTGTACCCTCAATTGGACCTTGAGGACAAGGTCCCCTTTGAAGGGGGAGCAGATGATGCAGTAACTAAGGACAGGGTAGCGGTGGACGAGACAAGACCACAGAGACAGCGAAGAATCCCCTCGTGGCTTCGGGATTACACGTAGCAATAAGCATAAGAGCCATGTGGCTAGTTAGTGTCTATTATAATTGGGCCTATTAGAAATGGGCTTGTGTATAAAAGCTTGGAGATATTCATTTTGTAAGACGACTATTGAATAAACCAGATAATTGTTCTTTCTGTTTTTCCCCTTTCTGAGATACATTACCCAACATTACTCTTGAGGCTATTGATGCGGGGGAGATGAAGATCTATGAAGCCGAGGTTTGGGTGAAACCCTGGACGGACTTGAAACAATTCAAACACTTCAAGCTTTCTGATCAAGCACCATCGTCTAACTCTGCTGATGCTGATGTTGGTGTCAAAAAAGGTTTGGCATTTTCCAAATCGACCATATGTGGTCTTGATATGAATAACAAACTAACAATCTTATAGGGATTTTTACTATTTCTTTTTCTTCCCCCCCCCCCCCCCCCCAAAAGTTGATACTTACTAACATTATGGGCCGGATAAGCTTTTGAAAAAAGAACTTTTTCTGAGTTACTTTTTTTAAAAGAACTTTTTTAAAAAGTCAAAGTTATTTTGTGCTTGGATGTAATATTTGAAAAATATTTTTAAGTAAAAGTATCATTTGGATGTTAAAATAAAAAAGGACTTTTTAAATATAAAATGACTATTATGCCCTAAAGTAAACAAACGACGTCTTGCAATGTTGTTATGAGTTTCTTTGAGAATAGGCATGGCGAACGAGAACGAGCCCGCGAAGCAGCTTTTACCACACCTTCAACGCATCGATGAATTGCAAAAGTTGCTCATTACTGTAATTATCTCTGATTTCTCTGTTTATATATATATATATATATATATATATATATATATATATATTAGATTGATACCTATTTTGATTATTGCTTCGCTATTCTCAAAATGTGCCTTTGCCAATTTATGTTGTGTTTTTTCTTCGCTCATCTGAAATATCTTAATCATCATCATCATTGTTTTTTTTATTAACAATTTTTTTTTGGGGAGGAGGGGGGAATTAGATCGATTATACACGATGGAATAGGGGATGAAGATTCCAGAGTGAGTCGCACAAAAAAAATAACTAAAAGAAGACCCGCAAATTAACTATGATCTTCTTGTTTCTCTTATGAAGCTGTTTGAAAATGTTGTAAAACTATGCTCATTCTTCCTGCCATTAATTTTTTTTTTTCTTAATCTCAAATTACCTAAAACAGTACAAGACCAAAAAAAATAAAAAAATAAATCATGTTTGATAATTTAATTGACTCTGTTGATCCCAAACTTTGTTTTTGTTTTTGAAAAAAAGATGCAAGTTTCTTAAATGGCAGTGTCTGAATCTGAATAATTATAGTTTGACATGTTTACGTGAAATGACAACTTGCAGTGGCTGATATATTGTATTGGATCTACTCCTCAATAATTAATAATTGGTGAGTTCTAATTATTTCTCCATTTAGTAAAGGAGTAATTAATACTCTTTGGTCCATGCCTCAATTGCATCTATAAAAGCCATGTTTACTCTGAAAACTAGTATGCTACACACAATTTGACTTCTCTCTTTCTGCTTTCTATATTCCAAAATGGCAGGTTCTTATTGCTGCCAATTCAGCTTAATTTCAAGCTTAGCTAGCTTGAAGATGGTGATTAATGGTGAAGGAGGAAGATATGCTCTGCTGCAAGCTGTAAAGGATTCTGACTATATGTGAAGAAAGTAAATGGTGGAGAAAAAAGTATCAGTGATGCTCATGGAAATGATTACTGGATCCTCAAACTCTGTTTCATGTTACAAACTCTTGATGCCATGGAGAAAAAAGTTCTTGGCGTTTGCTTTGGTCACCAGGTATGTTTTCTACACCTTCACTTTAAATATATTTAATTTTTAAAGTATGTTTTTTGACTAGTTAATTTGGACCGTGATTAGTATCTAACAAGTATATAATACAACATGTATTTCATGGTTATATATGAAATAATATTGGTGACAATTTGTGAATGGCCTTGATCTTATAGGTACTATGCAGGGCTTTGGGTGGAAGGGTAGGTAGATCAAAAACAGGGTGGGATATTGGCATAAGACAAGTGGATTTTGCGAAAGATCTAGCTCCATGTAGTTACCTAGAGCGCCATGAAATGCCACCAACACTCTCCATAATTCATCATGTCTTTTGCCAAATGTTTGTTCTTATTCCTTTGTTATGTCTGTTACATAATTTTATTCGATGTTAATTTTTTCATCTATGATCAATTTTATTCGATGTTAATTATTTGAATATTACCTTTGTTAGCATTTGTTTAATGCTTGTATGAGTTTTTTTTTACAGATAGAGCAGAAACAAAAATATGCAGCATGGGAAGCAGCTGATATAGGAAAGCAGCTCTCCATCAACCACATTAAACTATACTTATTAACAAGGGTCTGATGCTTCATATTGTTCCCAGTCAGCTCCACTAAACTATAGACCATTCATCAAGTGCTCAACACAATTCTAGCAGCAGAAATGGAACTGTCTTGGAACCTAAATCAACTTCTCGGACATGCTAGTATAACAGTAACTATTAGCTAGCACCTGAAAAAATAGCAGAGGCACACAAGGCTGCAAAATTTGTTGTTGGGGCACTGGCATTCAATGATGTCTCAACTGTAGTAGACTTCTTGAGGAAATCACTTGGATTGTTGCTGATAAATCAGATTTGCTGACAATATTAGGGAAATTAGAAGATGTAGAATTATTAGTTTCTCTTTGTGTGTATTTAAGGAATCAATCTCTGCTGTTGTAAAATGAAAGTCATTCTATTCACCAATGGATAATCAAAATTATGTTGTATTTCTTTGCCAATACTGTCTTGTACGAATATATGAGGAAATGAGAATAGATCCTATTATTTCTTGTTTTAGCATAATCATGTCCTGAAAGTACTGATGAAAAGTAATATCAGTTATATTACAATCAAAAAATTTAATAACCAGTGGTGCTATTACAATCAAAAAAGACATAACCACTGGTGCTATTACAATAAAAAAAAGACATAACCACTGGTGCTACTAGAATCATTTCTACTATTAATAACCATTGGTGCTATTACAATCAAAAAAATTAACTGAGATATAAAAGTTATCAATGCACTCGCGCTGACAACTGATTTCTAATATCATCTCTTGTTTGTTCTATTGATCTAATTGTCTCTGTACTTGGTCCTTCCCATTCATCTTCTCCAAGATCATCTTCATTGGCTTCAAAATAAAAATATAAAAATAACCAAACAATATAAAAATATCAGAAGCCCTTTATTTTTAAAAAAAAGCAACTTTTGTTTTGGAAAAAGCTGATCCAAACGACCACTATATCTGTCATGCAATGGTTTCTGTATTGTTTTTATGTGGAACATATGAAGTTTGTCTTTTCTTCCTACAACATTCATACGTGGCATACATCAGGGGAGATTTATCAATACCGTGACTATATTACATCTTGAAAGAGTGTAGTCAAGTATTGGTAATTGATATTAATTAATAACTAATGAATGTTAGGGGCATTTGAATGATTAGAAGGCTCTATATGAAATCCCACTATAAAACATGAAACCATGCAATTTTTCATCTTTCCCATCTTTATGACTTGTTCAATGCATTTAGATTCAATTCAATGATAACACTACATCTTCAATTAATTGGTCCTCACCACACTTTGAATAACCAAAACTAATAACACAAACTCAGAGTCCATTTAAAAGTAGCATTTCTAATGATGCAGAATAGTTTTGGCCTTTTTTCAATCATTTCTGTAGTGGGTATGGGCGGGATGGGTAAAACCACGGTTGCCCAACATATATACAATGATCCTAGCATTTAATCCTTTTTATTTTTTCATTTTTCAACAACTCTACTAAAATCAAACTCAGTTACCACTTTTTCTGCAGGATATTTTTATGAATGGGGGTAAAATCCCTTGCATTAATATTCATTTCCTCTAATATTACTCTTCTTAGCCAACATGCTGGCATACCAACAATCAACAAGCATTCACCAGGATCATGTGGCCATGACTCATACACATCACCTCCTCAACAGTCACCACCATATAAACAATCCAGCAATCAATGCCAGACTTTTATATATTTTCACCACCATATAAACCAATGCAGATACTAGATATCTTCACTTTTTAACCTGCTTAAATTCTAAGTAACAATCAATACAAGACCATGCTCATGAAGGAACCCGCAGCTGAAGCAGAATTGGTCAATGAGTAGGAAGCCTTGGAAAGTCTTTGGATAATGATAGCCATAAAGATTAGGATTTAAAAAAAAAAAAAACATGCCTATCAGACTGAACCTTTATTTATAGAGAGGTTCAGTCTAATATTTATTTATTAGATTCTCAGTAACAATCAATACAAGACCATTTTATATATCACACATGCAGAAAGAGCGACACAATTAAAAAATTAATCACAAATCAATCAAATGAGTTTAAAAAATTAATCACAAATCAATCAATAATTTGTGGCACATAATGGTGTCTTGGAAGTCTAGAAAAGTATAGTCAAGAAATTGAAACTTATCCAAATCTGTCATCCTTGCAAAGCCAAATGAGTTTGTCCAAGTGTCTATCACACTGGGAGAGGAAGGCAAGATCATCCTCTCAATTCCCAAGTGAGTCAACTGCTTCTCAAGCTCATTCATCAAGATGCTACACATTCCAAGTCTTTGAAACTTCCTCCTGGTGGCAACAAATGGTAGCTCAGCAACCTTCTGACCATAAATCCTTATGGTGGCAGCAGAAATCACTTGGTCATTCCTCTCCAAAATCACTGTGTAGAACCCACGAAAGTTGGAACCATTAAGTTCTGAACCTCTGCTGAATATAACATCTGATATGATATCTCTCCCGGTGAGAGCATCAATAAGTGGATCAAAACACTCATGGAATACTCTAAGAGCCACACTTAGCTTGCTTTCAATTTGACTCATGCGCTCAAGGTCTTCAGAAGTAAGATCTCCATGGTTATCACTTTTCAGAGTCTTCAACAATATCAAAGTAAGATTATCTGCACCCACGAGAATTGGTTTCCCTATCAGCTTTTGTAGACTGAAAAATATGTTCTCACAATGAGCATTGCAGAACCAATTCTTATTAGGGTGGTTTTCCAAGTTACTGGTCAAGCCTCTAGTCTTTAGGCACCCAATGTGGTATTTGTGCTCACATTGATCACAAACGAGGATACTGTAATCCACATTATCTGCACAATCTTCTCCATATTTTGGTCTGTTGCATATTTTGCAGCAACATGGTGGGCAAAACCAATCACCATCAGGAACTTGCTCAAGACCTAGACAACTGAGATGGAATGAGGATGGGCATGTATCACAGAGTACCAATTCACCACCATAACGACATATAGAACAGATGTTGTCATTGTCTTTATAAACATTGTCTCTCTGCATAACAACATGATGATTTTGTTGTTGTGAACTACTCAAGGCTTCCCTTTGGCAATCCAACAGTGATCTTCCATGCCTCACCCTTTTCCTTGATCGTAAGACTTTACATTTTTTACCACGTATGGAACTCGTGGGTTGAGATTGACCCACCGGATTCCACTCATCATCATCACCATCATCACATGAATCCCATTGTCTTTTCTTGGATTTTCTTGGCTCAGCCCTCTGTTTCTTGTGTTTGAGCAGAAATGAATGTAGTGGAAGAGGCGTGATCAAGCTGACTCGTGGGTTGAGAGTGATCCACCTCATCATCATCATCATCAAATGACTCCCTTGCTTTTTTCTTGCATGTTCTTGGATGGCTCACCCTTTTCTTTGATCGTAAGACTTTACATTTTTTACCACGTATTGAGATTGACCCACCGGCTTCCACTCATCATCATCACCATCATCACATGACTCCCATTGTCTTTTCTTGGATTTTCTTGGATGCGCTCTTGCACTTGGTTTCTTGAATTTTCTTGGATGCGCTCTTGCACTTGGTTTCATGCATCTTCTTAGTTGCTCTTGTGGCTGTACAGAAGATGAAATGGTTGTAGTTGAAGGTTCATGATCATGATCACGCTCAACTTGAAGACCCTTTTTTTCCAGAATCAAGAGAACATTTTCAGGCCCACAACCTCCCTCTCTTATGCAGCTTTTGTTGGGTTTGCTCTTTTACTAAAGCCCAAATGAGTTATTAGTATGAGAAGAGCCCAAGGAACCTAGAGCCCAATGAGCTAGGGTTTCTTGGAACCCATATAAATAGTACCTCTTAAGTCATCAGCCTCTAAGGTCTTTTTTAGTGAGAAAGAGGCAAGCTCTGAATCTAATCAGTGCCCACACACTTCCCCTTCCTCCTCGAGAGATAGTTTGGAAGATCTGCCACAGTCCAGCTTCAAGGAGGTTGTTCGTGCTGCGGCGCTGAGGTGAGCTGTTCGTGAAGAGGAATCCTACAAGGGAAGATTCTACACGAGACCTGCGCACCGAGAGGTAATTGTGAAACAAGGATGATTCGGTCAGCATACCAATGTACTAGGTCCTAAACCGCTTCCGCATAAATCTAAGATTTCCTACAATTGGTATCAGAGCCTTGGCTGTACATTGGTATGTGAATCTAGTTTCACTATTCATGTAATTAGTTTTGCTTCTTGAAATGTGGCACCTAGGGTTCTAGGATTATGGTATGAATCTAGCATGTGTATTTTATAATTCATTTTCATAAAAGTTTAAATTTTAATCGGTAAAAATGCTTTAATCCATGGTTAGGATCTCTCGTGTATTTCTCGATTTGTAACAAGGAGGCTAATCCCATATGATTAGGTTTCCTCCTTGCTGTTTTTGTTTATTTTTGGAATTTCTGTGTATTTTTCAAATATTTTGTAAAAGTTCAAGATCGAGAAACCGCGAGTAAGATGCGCAGTCAGAACTGTCGGAGACTATTCGAGGTCTTCCCGATCTCGGAATGAGGCGATCTATATATGGTTGGAAAGAGGACGGAAAGACGAACGCAACGGTGGGTGGCTTACCGCCATCTGAGTTTACACGCGCCTCCACGCGCCTCCACAAGATTCTGAGAGTGGCCGCCACTCTCCGGCAAAGAATGGGAGAGTGAAGGAGCGTCCGGCCACCTTTTTGGGTGATTCCGGCGGCGGTGCACTCGTCTCTACGTGGCGGTCCTTCCCCTGGAGTTTCAGCTTGATTTGACTTCGGGTGACGGCGCGGCAGACCTGACGGCTAGGGTTTCTCTTTCGCGTCCTAGGGTTTCTCGCCAAAGGATTGGGTCTTTGGGCTTTTGGGCCCATGAAACCCTAAAGGGGCTTGAGACAGATACTATGGGCTAGGCGAAAGTCGAATTCCAAAGTTGTATTATTTTATTTTATTTTATTTTATTTTCTTTAAAATAGGAAGGCCATGGATTAAAGTAATTAGATTTTATTATTTAATGCTTTTATTGATTGGTATAAATTATATGATTGATAACATGCTTTATTGCGATAACATGCCATATAGAATATGTGGTGCCATATTGTTGCATAACTTGTATGATTGCATGAGCATAATAGATATTATGTCTTCAGCGACTAGTATGATAATTATTATGAGATTATTTTGATTTTAAATCATCCTAAGAAATTAATTAATAATTATTATGATTTTTATTAAAAATCTAGATTAATAATTGAATTAATTAATTTTGGATAATTAACATCAAGAAAAATAATCGTTATGGAAATTATTTTGATTTTAAATTATCCTCATAAATGATAATTATTATGATTGTTGCAATCTAGACTAATAATTAAGTCAGCTATTTGGATGATTTAAATCTAGAAAAATAATTAGAGAAAATTTCCTAAGAGAATTCTTTTATTTTGCGAGTAATTTGTGGGTTTTCTGAAATGGTCATGGAATAACACACGCTGCATACAACCTTCATGTATCATGATTGTTTGGAGCACACGCTGACGTAAAGTGACCGGATTTCAGGACCTTAATGCTTTCAAAATTATGTTAAGCTTAGTGCACGTTTATCGGCGCTCTTACTTATATAGTTTTTGAAATCGAACAAAAGATACTCTCAATTAAATAATTCTTGAAAATTAGAAAATGTTGCTTATGTTGAATGGAAGGAGATTTAAATTAAGAGATTAATTTAACCTTCAAGCTCATTATAGGACCATTAATAAAATAATCATGTGAAGTCCCATCGAATAAGCATGATTGAATTTTATTAGATTGGACTTAAATATCTATGGGAGGAGATTTAAATTAAGAAATTAATTTAACCTCCAGGCGCATTGTGGGCCTATCAATAAAATAATCATGTGAGGCCCCAACGGATAAGCATGATTGGATTTTATTGGGCCTTAATAATTTCAAAATTTTAATAAAGTATTGTACGGCCCATCGTCGATAATACTAAGTTATTAAAGATAATTTTGAAATTAAACAATGAATTCGACTGGGCTTATGAAAATTCTCAAACAAAAATGTTGAATGGGTGAAGGTTTTAAAAATTAATTAATTTTAAAACCTGCGGGCTCCATTTGTGAGTTTATTAGTTAAATGGTTATCGCTGAAGCCCCATCGGATAAGGATAATCAGATTTCACTAGATTAAATCTTAATAATTTCAAAATTTTAGTAAAGTATTGTACGGCCCATCGTCGGCAATGCTTAGACACTAAGGATAATTTTGAAATTAAACAATGGTTAATTACATTCAACTTTGGTAAAATTGTTAACCCTCCCATCGAGGCTCTGGCAATGGCACTGAAGGCCCAAATAACAATTTTGGTTTTTATAAGTGACTTGCCCATCGTAAGCCTTGTAAAGATAAACTGAAAGATTGTTAACAATAAACAAGAGTAGTTATGAGAATCTATTCGCACTTCGTTTGTTTATTGCATTATTTGTTTGTAATTGTGTGCTTTATATATTTTTCAGAAAATATCTTAGAAATGATTTTGAGTCGAAAACCTCTAGATGGTACCAACTATGAATAAGTGAAAAGCAAATTTTTGATATTGTTTTAAAACATGGAAGCTAAAATTTGTCCTGACAATGCGAGGGCCATAGCAACCTGCAGAGGATGCGTCTAAGGAAACTAAGATGCATTTCTCAGATTAGGAAATGGCAGATATGGTAGTTCACTAGTATATTATTGTCAGTCTTTCCAAATACTTGCAGAAGCAAGTGTACATGATTAAGAGTGGAGTAAAAATGCTTCAGACTCTTAATGACATGTTTTGCTAGACAGAATGCAGTCGGTGCAGGTTTTGCTAAGAGTCTTGTTAAATCCAAAGGGAAACCCAAGGGTGGTAACAAGAACAAAATGACTTGGTTATCAGTTGTCAAACCAGTTGCTATGAAGAAGCCGCAAGGCAAGTTCTTCAAGTGCAGACTGAAGGGATACTGAAAGAAAAATTGCCCAGAGGTGATGAAAAGAACCTGACATGGGCATATCAAGGCCTGATCAGTGAATGAATTATTGATTCAGGAATCACTGATTATGTTTGTTACTCTTTGTAGTAGGTCAAACATGGCATACCTGTCAGCAATGGACATAGATATTTTAAGCTTGAAAATAGGAACTTGTGTCTGCATTTGCAGTAGGACAAGTTATTTATAAGACTATGGTTTTGGGTGATTGTTTATTTGTTCCAGATTTCAAGAGGAATTCAATTTTTGTTAGTTGTTTTGGTTAAAACATGGGTTGACAATGCAATTGATTCCTCAGTTACATTTCGAAGTTCATCTTCGTCTTGTTTGTTCTGGTACATTGTTTAAATAGTCTTTATTACCTATGTCCTATAACCTTTTTAAATTTGTTATGTTGAATGGAAGGATGATGAACAAGAAATTTCACCAAAGAAATAAAAGTTTCAAATGAAACATAACTTTGGCCTTTGTGATTGAGTCATGTTATCTCAAGTAGGAAACATGTTTTAGTTAAAAGAGGGACTGAAAGTTCAATAATCTTTTAACTAACAGCTACGTGTTAGTCCTATTTGGAAGGTAAAGTGGCCAAGCAATCCTACAAGGGCCAAGAAGGTTTGCGCAACTATTCAACTGGAACTGGTACATACTAAAGTATGTGGACCACTTAGCGTTCAGACCAGAAGAGGTGATGAGTACTTCATTATATGAATGTTTACTCTGGATTTGGACAGATGAACCAAGTGCGCTATAAGTCTAAAGCTTTTGAAAATTTCCAAGAGGTTTAGTCTGAGGCAGAAAAGCATGTAGGTGTTCAAATCAAAAACACTTTGGTCTGACTAAAGTGTTGGCTACCTGTCTGGTAAGTTCAGGTCTTACCTAATTTAAGAGGGGATAGTTTTTGTAACTGTCAACTGTAAGAACGCGTTAGTTAAATGAAGTTGCAGTATGCAAAAATCAAACATTTCTAGACTTGGTGAAGATCATGTTCAGTTATTCATCTTTGTCAATGTTGTTCAAGGGAGATGCCTAAGAGAAGGAAATGTACCTTCTTAACTTGATTCCGTCAAAGTTTGTTGTAAAGACACCTAAAGAATTATGGAAAGGGTGCAAGCCCAGATCAAACCATATTCGGATTTAGGGTGCTACGACACACGTCCTACAACAGCAGTCAAATAAGATGGAATCTTGTATGGAGGAGTGCATATCTTTTGGCTACCCTAAGAGAACTAGGGATGATTTCTTATTTAGTCTTAAGGACAAGATAATCTAAGTGAGAACTCACATGATTTTCTTAAAGGAGGACTAGATGAGAAATTATAAGCTCTT